GTCGGCTTGGTGTTTTGAATTTTTTTTTAATCTTCTTTTTTTTAAAAAAAAGGTATTAAATTTTTTTAATCAATAAACAAGTGACACGTGGCAGTTTTGATTTTTTACAAAAAAAATTTACCTTCTCTCCAGGTTACCGGTAATCGGGATTGAAGAAAGAAGATGCGTATGAAAGTTGGGATTATTGCAAAATAATCGACATTTAGAATTATTTAAAATAAATTAGGCAAAGTTAGGATTATTAAAGTGTATTTTCCCCAAAAAAATTACATCTTATTGTCCGTTTAGATGATGTTCATATCGGATCAGAAGTAGTTCAGAACCCCTTACATGCTAACCCAACCCAAAGACCCGGGTTAGCGGGACCTACCCACCTGTTTTATCCTTTCCTTTTTAGGGGGGTGTTTGGTTCATCAAGTTGAAATGGATTGGTATGGATCGATCTCATACTAGAGAGGTATAGATTCTAAAATTCATACTAGTCCAAAATTGTTTAGTTTTATTATTGGAATGGATTCCATCATTCATTAATAGAATGGATTGTAAATCTTAGGGGGAGAGGTGGGTATGAGATTCTATGGGTATGAGGGAAATTAGAACCCCTTGAGTATGAGATTTCATTACTAAAAACCTCAACCAAACAAAAAACTACTACCTCCGTTAATGATTATTTGCAACAATTGTACCGGTTGCGGAGGCCTAGGAAAAAGTTTTTAAACATGATTATTGAAATATAAGGGCATGTATTTAAGCACTAATCCAATTAAAAAAAACCCACAATTAACTAAAACCACTAAACAACCAAACCCAGAACCCAGAATCACCACCACCGCCGCCAAACCCACCGTAACCCACCACCACCACCACCACCACCGAACCCACTGAAAACCCAGACACCCACTGGAAACCACCACCAAACCTATTGAAAACCACCAAAACCCAACGAAAACAACCACACGCCATCCAGAACCCACGAACCACCATCCACGCCACTCACAAATCAGCAAAAGTCACCCACAAACCACCCTAGAACCACTAGATTTGAAACCCAAAAACCAAACCCATCCAAAAACTACCCCCATGAACCGCTTCCAAACTGCTTACCATTTGACACAGTTTCTTCTTCGGCTATTGAAGACAAAAACGCCGACGAATTCGCCGACGATGATATGCTAAACGACGCCGACTTCGAAACCGATCCACACTGTTTCGGGTTTGGGTTAGGTTTGGAGAAATCTAGAGTAACAGGGTGGTGGAGTAGGAGTAGGAGTAGGAGTAGAAGGTTTGGTGAATTGGAAGGTAGCAGGAGGAGAGTTAGAGGAGTTGGAGGAGTCAAATGGAGCAGAGATGATGACAGATGAACTGGATGAGATATCGAAGAAGATGAGAGTAATAAGTTAGATTAGGATTGTAGATATGTGTAGTATTATGTGCTAATAATTTTTAAGTGAGGGTATTTTGGTCATTTCCACAGAAAAACGTTAATAAAATAGGAAAGAAATAAATTTGTTGCAAATGATAGTTATCACCCGTTTTTGGTAAATGTTGCAAATAAACGTTAACGGAGGTAGTATATGAAATAAATTCTACGAATTTTTCATGAAATACCATAGAGTTTTTCCAAAATTCACCATATACCACACAATTTTTTTTAATTCACCATATACCATTGATTTTTTGTAAATGTCACAACATACCATTAATGACTAACGGATGTTAACACCATTAGTCATTAAGGCTAATAATGCCACGTGGAAGCTTGTGATTGGTTCCCTTCTAAATTATTTAATTTAAAAATAATTGTTTAATTAATTATCAAATAAAAAAAGTAATAACCAAAAAATAACAAAAAATAATTTTTTTAATTAAAATAAATGTTTTTTTTATTCTAAATCCCCCCTCCCCCAAACGAAGAACATCCCCCCGCCAGCTACATCACACCAGCCTAAACACCCACCGGCGATCCCTTTTGCTCTCTCCCCTCTCATTGTCGCCTCTGCTCCTCCTCTCTCTCTATTTTTTTTAGGAAATTATGGGTAAGGGCTTTTTACGGGTGAGTGTTGGGTTTTTAGGGCGGATTTTTCAGGTGGATTTCGAAGATTAAGGTCGGGTTTGGGGTGGGTATGGTGATATTTTGGGGGTTAGGGTGGGGATTTGAGGTGGGTACGGTTGTTTTGAGGTGGGTGTCGGTGTGGGTCTGCGGGCTTGGGTTGGTTTTGGCCGACGAAGGCCGATGTTGTAGGAGGGGGAACAAAAAGGGGGTAGGTGGAGGAGAGTACAATGGAGGTTGGCCGGCGTTCAGGGAAAGGAAGAGAAAAGGGTCAGGCGCTGGTGTTGGGAGGAATGAGGGGAGGAGAGAGGCTGGGCGTTGCCGGCAGGGGGGATGGTGACTGGCTGGGTGGAAGAAGGGTTGGGTTTTTTTATTTTACAAAAAATATTTTAACTTATTTTTTGGTTTTTATTTTTTGTTATTTTTTGGTTTTTATTTTTTTTATTTGATAATTAATTAAATAATTATTTTTAAATTAAATAATTTAGAAGGAAATCAATCACAAGCTGCCACGTGGCATTATTAGCCTTAATGACTAACGGTGTTAACGTTCGTTAGTCATTAATGGTATGTTGTGACATTTACCAAAAACTCAATGGTATATGGTGAATTAAAATTTTTTGTGTGGTATACGGTGAATTTTGAAAAAACTCAGTGATATTTCATGAAAAATCTGTAAATTTTAACACTATTCCAGATTTCCAACCCATTTTAAATAATCCAATCAAACAACCCTTAGTATTTTAATTTTTTTTTTTTTTTTTTAATGTATACACATCGGTCCAGTTAACTCGGAATTCTGAGGCTGATAGCATCAAATTGAGAAGAGAGACTGAGAAATAATGGAGTTCGAGACGATTAAAAATTACTTAGAAAAACCAGGTAAAGAAGATGAACCTACAGAAATCCACAAACTTCCCTTGAGATTTTTCGACGCTTTCATCATTCATGGTCTTCGCATTAATCAAATCGAACATGGTCGTATTCTCTGCTCCTTCAATGTTCCTCAACGTCTCCTGGTTCGTTTCTCTTTCTTCAATTTTTATGATATTTTTGCTGGGTCTTGTAATTAGGGTTTCTAATTTGACTCTGAATCTCCGAAATTGATTTGGGGATGATATTATAGAATACTGCGAATACTCTTCATGGTGGCGCAATTGCGTCTTTGGTGGATTTGGTGGGTTCGGCTGTTGTTTTCACTGTTGGAGCTCCGTCTACCGGTGTTTCTGTTGAGATCAATGTTTCCTACCTTGATGCTGCACTTCCTGATGTATGTTGAGGGTATTTTTGGGGAGAATTCGTAATTTTGTTGGATTTTTATTGCTTTATTGATGTTGATAAGTTGGAATTTGTATGTGTTCTGTATATTTTGATGTTTTTGACATACTGAATTGTGGGAATGTTGGGGTTGAGCTTGTTGAAGTGATTTTATAATCTATGAAGATTGATTTACTGCTGATTTTTCTAAATTTAATTGTGATTTTAGTCCAATAAGGGTGCTATTGATTTAATTGTTTCTTGGGTGATAAAATTTAGGAATTTCGAGTTTTCGTTAATTGTCGGTGCTTGAAGTGATTCATCATTCAATGGAAGACTAAAGAGGGAAAATCCCGTTTTACAAGTTATAATTATGTACTTGGTATATTACAATAGTGAATGAGATTTGTTTCTTTCTGTAACTGTAGTGCATTACTGGTAAGAAAGTTTAATTGTTTTGTTGGGTGAGCGAGCAATGGAACCTCTGGCTTCTTTTCCTTTTGATCAGAAGCAAACTAGGCTAGCTCCACCATACAGATTGTAGGTTGTGAAAGTGTGTGTGTGGGGGTTTGATTGTAAGATACTAAGAAGTACGAAGGGTTAAAGATTAAGGAGTTCATTCTAGGTCTTTTTCGGGTTATATGTTATATCATATGATGGCTTCTACATAGATTTATTTACTTATTCTGTGTGGAAAACATTCGTCAAACTAATGCTTAATTAAATCTCTTGATATGGTGTGTTGCTAGTCAGAGTGAAAATGAGATTGGTTACTTTTATCTTCCTTGTAGGTTTTGAGGGTTATGTGGCCGTTTCTTTGCTACCTGGATATAGAAAGAAAGCAATAATATGGATGTAGATTTGAGGGTTAGATATGAATATTCTAAGTATCTAGAATTTGGATGTCATATATATTTTAGATTTCTGTATGTTGGGGCTTGGATGTTCCGGTCCAAGTAACCTAGTGGCATTGTTTACTTCGTTTCCATGCATCAAACTATCAAAAATACCTTTTTTTTTGGCTGGCCTATGAGTCTATGACTAGCCGCTTTCTTCTCATAATTTTGGGTTTTTGACAATGTTCAAAAAGTTTTAATATGCTAAGAGAAATCTCTCACATGCTCATGAAAGTTGATAAAGTCGGATAATTTCAACAAAATTGAGTCGGGTTTTGATAGAACCTCACTTAGTTTTGGCTTTTATGCATCTCATAAGTCTGCTATCTGATTTACTTTTTTTTATTCAATGAATCCTGGTGATGTGTTATTGATACGTCAATGTTCAATTTTGATTTATACAGGAAGAGATTGAAGTTGAAGGCAAGGCTCTACGTGTTGGGAAGTCCCTTGCTGTTGTTAGTGTAGAATTAAGGAAGAAGGCAAGCGGCAAGATCATAGCTCAGGGACGGCACACCAAGTACCTTCCTGTATCCAGCAAATTGTAGCTCTTTATTCAGAAATGCCCTTATTGTATTAGCTCTTCTAAGTATGTCATCTATTGCGACATTGAATAACACTTTGTATGTACAGTACATTAAGATCATCTAGTATAATGATGCCTACAAGTACATTTATGTAACATTTATCTTTATAATGCAATATATGATTAATATGAAGTCTTAAATCCATTTTATGTTCTGGTTGAGTGTATATATATATTTTTTATGATCATTTACTTCAAGGCAACAAGAATGTGGTATTGAACAATTACTGTGTTCAAAGTTCAGAAATCAAAACATTATTGGTGTGCAGTAACTCAGCTAGGTTTTCAGATTTCTGAACTCTATCAGATTCAGAACTGACAATAAAGTCGAATACAAAGACACTGTAAATGAAAGTGCAAAATTCAGACATCTTCAGGAGACTGAAAGATCCTATGGTTAGTTTCAGTCAATTTCTGTGATAATAAGAAGTAACTGCTAAACTCCAATGGTGCTAACTGCTAGGTATTGTCTATGAATCCTCAAGAAATTCAGCAGCATCTTCCCAATTTATAATGCTTCTTGTTGTTTTCCTCCCACCTTTTCCATTGCCCATCCTCATCATTGCAACAAATTCTCCATAATCTATTTGGCCATCCTGAACATCAGTCTCATATTAGAACAGTCAGGTACTGCTGTTTTAAGCAGGGAAATACTTTAGCAATTGTATAATATTGTCAAATTTTATATATTCCAATATAAATTTTTGGTACTATTATAATTACTCACATTATCTTGATCAATCTCCTTGATCATTTCCTCTAGGTGATGATCATTGAGTCCAAGTTCGATGCAGGCTTGCTGGAGTTCATCAATGGTTATATAACCACTGCCATCTTTGTCAAAGTATGCGAATGCAGATGCCAAGTTCTCCTCTCTCTCCAACTTGTTCAGGTGCAGGGTTGCAGCGACAAATTCTCCATAGTCTATGGTTCCATTGTCATCCACATCTGCCTGCCAATTGGTAACCTTCACTCAGTAGCCACTAATGAATATGTATGAGAATTATATATGCTTTCTTATTTAGTTAATTGCTCTTACTGCATGCATGAGATCCTCAATTTCAGATTCCTTTATCTTTGAGTCAACCCGTAGTAAGCCATCTTTTAGCTCATCAAATGTTATAGTTCCGCTTTTGTCTTTGTCTATCTTTTTAAATAGCTCCTTCAAACCACCAATTTCTTCTTCAGAGAGTCTCTCAGCTATGACCTGCAAAAGACATATAATATTATAATTTGTCTCTCAAAAAATATGATAGTATGCTTGCGACAGAAAATTCAATATCTTCCAATTTAGAAATCTATTCAAAATCCAAACACTTAAGTCTTAAGACCCATTTCCAAATATCCTAAAAGTTTGGGGTTTGAATGTTATCTGTAACCCAAACCATTGACCTAAGATATCTGTTATTAAAGGCACAGGGAGTACCATATCAGAAATGATTTTTAGTAATGCTATATTGGATTGATATGACCTAAACCCAATATAACTGACTTAATTGGCAGTGATGTATAAATGATCTGTAAGTACTGTAACTAAAGCGCTGCAACGTAGCAGCTCTCCCCATATTTTCAAATGGAAAGTGGCACTTTGTTCTTGGGCTTAGTTTTGTAGAAAGTACAGGCATATTGAATTTTTAAACAGTGTAGATTGAGTTTTACCCGGCAGGCCATCTTCTTAAGCTTGTTCATGGCTGAAAAGTGCTTGAGGCGAGACAAAACAGCTGAATCAAGAGGCCTGTCAGGTACTTTAGTGTCATCAACAATCCACGAATGACCTGTTTGAAACAAACACTAATTACTTATTCATCCTTAATTATGCTACATCCTTAAAAGCTTGTTGGAAGAGATGTCTTACTTAGCACTTGATAGGCTGTGAACCTCTTTCTGGGATCTCTTTCAAGCATATTTCTTATTAAATCTTTGGCATCCTCTGAGATGCTTGGCCATGGTCGTGACTCAAAATCAAGCTTTCCTCTCAATATTTGCCTGAATATTCCTGCATCGGTTTCTACATAACCACAATTAAGAATGAGATTTAGTTGAAACAGTCTTGCAGCTAATTTATTGTGATACAGAAATAAGGTCACTCTGGTTTTTCAAGTTATTCCAGACTGTTTCCATACAAGATTTCTTCAAAAATGTGTATAAACAATTCAGCCAAAACAGAAGAATTTGCAGATACTGTGGGATGCCCTGAATCTAGGCCTTTGTTTACCTGCCCAAAAAGGTGGAACTCCACTGAGTAAAATGTACAATATAACACCTGCACTCCAAACATCTGCTTCTGGGCCATATAGCTTGTTCAATACTTCTGGCGCAACATAGTAAGGACTCCCCACAACATCACTGAAAGTATCACCTTCAAAACACAAGAGAGTGCAAATAGACTATTAGTCAGAGGAATGTTTGGGAAACCCCGGGAAGACGAAAGTTTTTGATCCCTAGTGCAGAAGGTAGGTGTAGTGGTATCTCATATGGGTACTTAGGAGTGATGGTATGTAGGTATATGCTTTATTGTGGTAGCTGAAATGATTGCAGTGGGATTTTTGTTGGTTGTAATGGTTGCGAGGTACCAAAATTGGTATCTCGTGTAGGGTTTTCTGTCACTGATCTTATCCGTTTCCCGAGAAGGAAAACAGTATAAAACTAAATTTAAACAGATTACGAAGATATTCAGTTAATGTGAACACAGAAGTGTAAAATAGTGCTAGTTTTATGCAACTTGCCTATTGGAACTTTGTTGACGACATTATTTTATTTTCATATGTTAAACACAATATTTTACTCGGGACGTGCTTTTAAGTTGGGAAACTCAAGAACATGTCTTAGAGTTCAAACCAATAAAATTCAAGCTTGATCTATGATGTATAGTCTTACCAATTCAGTTCCTTTCACTTTGATTTGATTTTTGATCTTTCTATGCTAAGGTAAACAGGGGGGAAAAAAAACTGTGCATTGTTAAGTACTCTCTTAAGTTGGTTGAAATCAAATTTGCTATTTTTCAAGCCCTTTGATTAACTCTGATACATTGTTTTTTTTGGTCTAAAAAGTTTATGGCTGTTATCAACCTTCAGCAAAACAGCGCAAAGAAATAAAAATGCTGGGAAAGCTGCAAACACACCTGGTTGATAAAACACAGAAAGGCCGAAATCAGTAGCTTTAAGAGAAGAATCCTCTGCAGTACTTTCAAACAAGAAGTTCTCAGGCTTGAGATCTCTATGAATAACCCCCAATGAATGGCAAGCTTCAACAACACCAATGATAGTCTTCATCAACTGAGCAGCCCCTCTCTCGGTATATTGCCCTCTCTGAACGATTCGATCAAACAGTTCTCCACCTTCACACAACTCCATGACCAAATGAACATTAGTCGAGTCCTCATAAGTACCCTTAATGGTTACTACATTCGGGTGCTCGACTAAATGGTGCATTATCTGAATCTCATTCCAAACATCGTCGCAATCTTCCCTACACAAAAGCTTCCTTTTGGGGATTGACTTACAAGCATATTTATCTCCTGTGGAGTTTTCTGTGCACAGGTATGTTGTTCCATATTGACCTTGGCCTAGTTTTTTGCCTAGGGTGTAAAGATCATTAACATTTTTGGTTTCGTAAGGAAGAACCGATGTCGGTTTCGAAAATTTTACCGAGTTGGTCTTGTTGAATGTCATGGTGATTGTTAAGATATTGTGCACTTTAGGGAAAAAATGATGTTAAACCCAGAAAAAGAAGGGTAGAAGAGATTAGTACAGGTTTGAAATTATACTAGTCATATGTTTGAAGATTTTGTTAATAAACAACTTGATGCAGCAAGTTGGCCCAATGTCAGAAAGTGTTAGTGGAAGAATATATCTTATTATATAAATTTGAATTAAATAAACTGTATGGTATATTTATTTGAGCAATTAATAATTAATTTTCATTTGAAATAAGAAGTGTGTTGATATGAACATGGACTGTTTCATCATTCACTCTTTTACGTGGAATATTAAATGCAAGTCATGACCCATTCACATGTCCACTAACATTATTGATAACTTGCTATGAGCCTATTACTAGTTGGATCATTAAAATGTGGACTTTTTTTTGGAAAAATTCTCTTTTATGTTAATTTTTCACATTTTTATTTCTCGTGAGTTGAGATACATAATGTAATTTCTTTCTTTCTTTCTTTTAATTTTGAAAGACCACCACTAAAATACTTAGTATTTGCATTTGAACTCTTGGGTTAAAACTAGTTGTAAAAAGACATGTTAATAGTAGATGACACGATAAAATTTGATTTGTGTAAACCACAATATATGATTATAGAGTAAACAAAATCAGATCATTTTTTTTGGTGAAAACATTATCAGATTATGCGATCTTGCAAATCAACCCAAAAAATCATTGCCAAATAAGTACACCTCAAAAAAACACAAAAAGATAAGATGATAAATATCAGGATGGACATTTAAAACCAAATATTTAATAATGTCCTCATTTTCTCTCAAATCATTACTACTACATGTCTACATCAATTATTTATATATTTATTATTTTTGAAAAATGCTACGGAGTACCGACTAGCTAGTAGCCAAATGTGTTATGAACTTCTAATCAGTAATCAGTTGTTGTTAATTGACTAGATCGCTTTTAAGTATTGATAACTTAACTTACTCAACATTTACCAAATAAAGGCATTGCTTTATCCTGAATTACGTATACGGCTTAAGAATATTTCAAATCTTGAAGGAGTAGCAATACACTAATTATCAGCTTCTTTGTTTTTAACAAAAAAACACTATTGAACAAACAAAAAAACACTATTAAACAAACTATAAAATACAAAAACCACTACACATATTGAAAATTTCACCTATCCGTCTCAAAATGTTCTTGTTTTGACAATAATTCTCGCAAAGAAAAAAAAAAAAAAACCCAAAATAAGAATAATATGAGATGGGAGAAATATTAATTTAGAATAAATTGCAAATAAATATTTGTATGCTAAAAGCCTAAAACACGTTTGGAAGTCATACGGTAATCGTAATATGTATAATGTTTTATAATTTTGTCATGATAATTCTAGAAATATTTGCAATCAAAGTTTGCTCCTCAAAAGTAAAACATCAAATATTGTAGGTGAATAAGGTAATAAATAGACCGGGTAAATCATGTTAAGAAATACTTCGTGCGTGCATAAGATTTATACACAATTCTATAAAAATAATGCCTTTATTTTTCAATTTTTGTTACTTTTTCTTGTTTACCCAACTTAACTTTTACAATACAACTTTGACTATAAACATTTAAATTCTAAAAGTTAGTATATTAAAATTCTAATTTGTATCAAAACAAACCCAATTGTTTGAAATAATCAAACAAAAGAGAGTACGTAATAGTGCAAAAGAAAAACATGGAGATTTCAAAAACAGGAGCTAGTTTGGTTTAGAAAAATCTATCCAATTCTTTTATTAATAAATAAATAAATAAAATTTCACCAAATCCTTTGAGATGAATGGTCGTAGACACAAGAATACTTCAACACTTCTCACGTTATTATGTTTTCTTTTACCTTGATTTCTAATTTTCTATGATAATTTCATAAATTTAATTGTCAATCATCACCAGAAACTAAAAAATTCGGTCCTTGTCATGCAAAGCTTACGCTTCCTTTGTCCTTGGAAGTAGAGGCACATTAATATTCGTCAAATACTTTACCAACTAAATTAATTGATATTAATTCTTTACGAAAAGATAATCCGCATTATAAACACAAGTTTTCATAGAATGATTTTCTGTGGTTTATCACCATTATGATTGAAAGAAAATCTGTAGGTCAATAATTTCAAGTTAAAAATTGATTAATTGAAATAATAATTAAGGGTAAATTGAAAGTAATAGAGAGTTTCATTGATAGGGTTGCATCGCCGCCTCGATTGATTTGTTGCGGCTGCCTCCTATCTCTCTCCCCCTTTCCCCCCCCCCTAAAGAAGCGATATCTGCATTTGTAAAAATTATGCACAAATGGGTGATCATATAATGGAAATGGATGTCCTTGACTTTGATCTTGATCCTGTAACAAAAAAGGCATTAATAATTACGTATTATGATTTATAGACTGAATTACAAAGTTCGGTAATAAGGGGAACTTCTAACTACCAAATGCAAGAAGACTGTATCAAGAGTAAGAGTAAACGAACCTTTACGAGTCTTAAATCGACAGGATGAACTTCCGCATCGACATCGAAATGCCTTGATGGGATGACAATCATCATCAAAATCAATCCCATAATCCTATAGAGACCAAAAAAAGGGAAGCAGTCAATATGAATCTCATTTCATATGTTTAAAGGTTAACTTTTAAAGATTAGTAACTTTCTTATCCCTATATAAGATCATTTGCAAGTCACTTCTGAACAATGTAACAAGTCACCCGTCAACAATTAAAAAGTCACTCTTTAACAATAATTTAAGGTTAGAGTTTACTCAAGTCACTCTTCCAAGTGGTGCAATTTGTTAAACACATAAATCACCATATTAATACATAATGGCATTTCTGAGAAAACTGAAATTTCACATCACAGTCATCTGCTGGATCATAATCAGTTGCACATTCATATTAATTATCTGGGCTTCGGAAAGACAGGCCTCACCCAATTTATAAGACAGCTGAGGCGCATCAAGTCACCCTTCAACAATATCATAAATTACTTCTCGACAATATACAAGTCACCCTCAATAATTTCAAAAATTACCCACGAATAGATATAAAAGGTGACCCCTCAAGACTCTTAACAAACTGACCATCAAAAGAATAAGAAGTCACCCTATAGGACAGTTCATATGTTGTAAAAATATCAGTTCACTTATACAGGCTCTAAACATTATTTTGATATCTCTATGCAAAAATGAACTTACCCAGGTTAGCTCTTCATACGCTTTCACCTCTCGTGTGGTGAAAAAAGCAAGCTGCCAAATCATAGAATACGAACAAATCTATGTAAGATGTGCTTCAACCCAAAAGAAAAGGTATGTATTATGATTTCTTTAGGAAGGTAAGAAATGACTTACATGATAATAATGATGATCTGCAGTCTCCACTTCTACTGGAATTTCAAACAAGTTGGCATCATGGCATCTGAGTGCAAAAGTCGAGTATTTCCAAGTCAGCACATATATAAAAGAAAATTTGCAAAAATACTACATCGAATCTCTCACTTTAATTGTTAGGCAGTAGTATAACATTGTTGATTACCATAAACTTAATTAGTAGGGATAAGAATAATACCTGTGGTTTACAAATCGACCAACGTTCCCATAAGTTGTAGCATCCAAACAGAGTGCAAAATCATCATCCAATATACTTTCAGAACCCCAGTCTGCATCAAGGTGAACTGGATATGTATGCCTCTCATTTGCTCTACTTTGTTTATTCCTCTCATCTAATTCTGTATTTGTTACAACCTCACCAACATACTCACATACAAATGCGCCCTTAGGTAAGTCTTCCAGGGTCCGCAGGCCCCATCCTTTTGCTTCAGATGTCCAGAAAACCTGAATGATAGAGCATCATAATAAGCAATGGAGATACAAGGGAAAACTAAAGTGTGACACTTCCAACTGATGAACAATTGGGGGTGCAGGTTTTCATATTGTTATCCTCAAAGATGGTACAGATCTTGTTTCCACATAAAGTATTTGTCTATCAATCAGTTAGTAATTAGCTTGTTCAATTGGCTAGATACGGTTAGCTATCGAGTCTGCCAGTTTGTTTATTACAATGCTGTTTAATAAAATTAGCTTCACTGTCAACAATTTTGTACAAAAAATCCAATTTTTCCGGAAAAAAACAGCAGATTTGACATGCTGGTCCTGCACTCAGTTAACTTTTCAAGGGCAGAGAAGCTATTAATAGTTTTAAAAAAAAAATAGTTAGCTTTTTTTTTTTATTTTTTTTAAGAAAAATAAAATAAAATAAAAAAATTGGATGTTTGACAACATGGGGAAATTTAAAGGAAAAAAAAAATTAACAAATAAAGAGTCGCAAGAAGCAAAGGACAGTTTGGGACTTGAAAGATATTCGATTTAAAAAATCTGTGTTGAAACAGCCACTAAATATCAAATATGGTTCGTTGTATGCAAAAGAGCATTTGAAAATGTGAGCACAAACAAGCATACATATGACACTTCTCTTTGGTGTGTGTACATGAGTGTTTTTATGTTTTTTAGAACCAAAGTTGTAAGCTGCTGCTTCTTTATATTTTATATACTTCATACTAAAGGGGAAATTTTAAACTTAGATCTCAGGCATTAGTTCAGATTGCAACATTCTGATCCAACATAAAATTTGTTCAATATGTAAGCAGATCAATTAATGCAAAACGGTTAGATTAAAGTTAAGTTTTACCTGCAAGTTGCGAGTGATCCCTCGTTGCACTACTCGATTACCACATTGCGTGCTGCAACCACATTTACTCCAACATTCTTTAATAAATTTCTTCACAGAATGACCCTTGCATTTCTCAGGCTTGCACTCATTCTTAGCCCTCTCGATTGGGCAATCTTGGCAATAGACGTACTTATTCTCAGAAAAGCAAGCTTTTAAGAACTCTGGATTAAGAAGCCCATCCTCAGTGTAGGCAAATTCACCATTAGTTACTCGTGCACATGCACAAGGTACTGGTGAAGAGAGACAATCCCCTGAACAGGCAGGACAACAATCCTCATCTGAGATCCGAGCCAATGAGATATTGACTATTGCTTTTTGGTAAATAATATTTCTTGGTATGTAAAAAAATTTAGGAGGTTCCCTGTTGCCACGCTCATCAACTAATGAGATCTTCACATTCTCTTCACCCTTTGTA